GTGAGATGGTGCCTCCTCTCACTTTTAAAGTGCATGCGCCATCTCACTTGGATAAAAGAGAGAGGAGGCGCCAAGTGGGATGACGCCTAGGGCAAGAATGTTAGTGGATGCGCCAAGTGAGATGGTTCCTCCCTTGGGGAGTTTTCTGAAACATGGTTATTTACGTAATTTTTTCCGAAACATGGTTATTTGTGATTATTTTTTTTTAATATCTGATTATTCCAAAAAAAAAAATTCTTGTAATGAGGTATTAAATGAAGTGTTGAAAGTGAGTTGAATTAATTTATTTGAAAAGATTGAACACATTGAATGAAGAGGGAGTAAGAGCCATAAAAATATTTGACAAAATCTTATTGTGTAGTGTGATTTTTTAGATTTTTATTTTATCATAATTATTTGGGGTCAATTCTTTTATATTAAAATAATTTTTAAAATTTTTTTCACCAAAATTCATCATATATTTTTTTATAAATAGAGACTTGATTCATTTGATTTGGACATAAAAAAAAGTTAATTTCATTAAATAAAAAATATAAAAGAAAATAAAAATATGAAAAAAAATATTGGATAGCATATTAAATTTTACTACACAAAATTATTGTAATAAGTAAAAATTATATAAATATTAAATTATTAGGTAGAAAAAAGAGAGATAAGAGAATGTAAAGTAGGGGTGGGCACCGGTTCGGGCCGGTTCGGGTTCGGGCCCAAACCCCCAATCCGAAGTTATCCACGGGTGGTATATTACGACCCAAATCCGACCCAATTATGATTCGGATTAGTCGGGTTCGGGTTGCATCGATTTCGGGTATCTATAGGATTAATTTCGGGTACCATTTTTAATGGGCTTATTGAAATATTAAGCCCAAATTCAGAATTTAGTAGTTTTACCCCCTTTTTTTTGTACAGTTTTCAAAATTTTCATTTAACTACTTAAAATTTCCAAAAAAAAAAATGACATACTCTATAATATAAATTCATAGTTAAAAAACATTACAAATTAACATAGTATCAAATTCAAATACATTACAAACTCCAATTCAAATACATTAAAAATTCCAATTTAAATAGATTACAAATTCCAATTTAAATAGGTATCAAATACATTACAAATTCAATTAAATTTAGCAAAGCCTACATAGTAACACAACCAACATATAAACTCCAATTCTTTGAGATTAATCCATTCCATAAAATAACCGGGAAGCTTCTTGCACTCCTGCACTCCTGCATAAAAGCTATTTGTTCCGTATGAAACAGTCTCAAGCTAAACATGGACAAACAATTGCTAAACTAAATAGTATAGTAATTACAGATATTTATGGCACTTGCAAACATAATTAACAAAAAAATTAAAGTAAATTGGAACTACAGTATTTGACTTCATATGAACTATATGAGAGGTACTCACCAATTCTCACTCATGAACTATATGAAGTATATATTAGCATCTTTACTATTCAAAATTAAAACAACAGAAGCTGGGACACAAAATCTATTTCTTCTTTTCTTGCATCATGCCAACAACTAAAGCCCTTATGAATCTTGTCTAAAGCTATAATGACAGGACATGAAAGCAGTTCCTATATAAGATATATAAAAAGCATAAACCCCATTCCCTTCTTTAACATCCAAGTAGAGTAACTTAAAAGTCCATTTTTCAGTCATAATTTCACAGGCAGGCATAAATTAAAGAATAATAAGTCACACTTCTCATTTCAGAAGTCACACAATCAACAATAAAATAACACATTCACAAGTCACACTTCGCATTTCAGAACAGCATTCACAAGTCACAACTTCAAAAAGCAAAATCAAAACATTCAAAAATTAAACGCTACCTGATCTTTATCATCGTGACAGTCTGATGCTACTGTTGAACAAGGCAAGAACTATAATTGGACTGCAGCAAGAGAACCATCTTTCTCCCTTGTACCCAACACAGCTCTAGAGTCACCAATGTGGACTTCCTTTGAAAGAAAGCATTGAGGATGAAGAATTTATCTGGTCCAGAACAAATCATAACTCAGAGATGATCTCCATAAATAAAAAAAATCAACCAAACATAAATTCTACTTTTTGAAGCCCTCTAAATTATATTTTCTTTCTACCACATGCTTATTATGCCAATGCCATATAGTTTTTAAGTAATAAAAAGATGGAACAGAGATGAGAAGTGCAATGCTTGTGTAATAAACAGATATGTTCCAGATCTCCTCTCATTTTTTATGTTGGTGTTGGTGTTCACTACTGAAATACATAAGGAACAGAGCCACACCACCAATTTATTATATAGCACTATTTGCACACGACTGATACCGGAGCAATAATCTATGAATCATGTAAATAAGTGAAAAATGAATTGTTACCTTTAAGAATCGCGAACAGTTTTTGGGGATTGAGTTGTCTTTCACATATGCTACCTTGTTACCTCTATATTCTTCGGGTACACAATCATTGTCATATCTGTCCACAATTTCAACAACCTAGATATCCATTGTTCAAAAAAATATCACAATAAGCATATGGATGTTGATTGGAAAGGAAAAAGATAAAGAAATTGCATAGCATGAATGTAAGAAGAAATGATATATACACTATACGATGCACGGAGTGTAACAATTCCAACAGGAATAAAAATCAAACCCATCAACAGAAAGCAGTCTCTAGCTATAGTTCGCCTAGACGGTATAGAAAATTGGGGCTGCATCTGCCTACAAAAGTACTTAAACCCCTCTCCTTCCACTGTACTAAATGGTTTTTCATCCAAAATGATAAAATAAGCCAACCCACTTCGACAAGCTACAGGATTAAACCTAGAACTTAATATTTCCTCAGTTGTTGAATATGACAAGATTGTTTGGGTAGTGTCTGTGGACAAGTTCAACGGATACTTGGGACATGTTTTCATGTGACTCTTTAAGTTTGATGTTCCATGTTTCTTAGAGTCACACATATACTTTTGATGGCAGTACTTACAAGCAGCTGTTGGTGGGTCACTATTAGGAATAAGGTTAAAATGATCCCAAACCTCGGATCTCTTTCTATTACCATTTGCATTGCGTCTTCTTTTCCTTGGGTTAGTTGGTGGAAGTTCGGGTATTGTTGTAGTTTGATGATTAGGTTGGGAATGTTCATTGGCATTTGGTGTGTGTTGCCTAGATGCTGAAACAATTTGTTGGTGTTTAGGTTTTAAAAAACTATGCCAAAATTATACTAAAAAAACATCAAAGTAAGCCTAAAATTACCGGTATTTTGCATATCTCTAACTCCACCAGTTCCATGCTCATCTCCCTCTCCTTGCACATGTCCAACTCCATGCCCATGTCCAACTCCTTGCATTTCTTTACCTCTTTGCATTTAAAACAATATATTCAAAGTTATTAGAGCTAATCAAATTTAAACTGAACTCTTTTAAAGTTATTAGAACAAAATAAAACAAAACTAACACATACTTTCTTCAATTCTCTGAAGAGATTTCTCAGTAACACTGTAATGAAAACAACAACAGTGATTAAAATATTGAAAACAACAAAAACTGAACATTGTATTTGAACTATTGAAACGAAAATAAATAAATAAATACTGAGTTTATATGAACCTTAATAGCTCCAACACCAAAACTGAACTCAGAAAAAAGCTTTCTCCTATGTGACGAAAATGACGAGTTTAGAATAAATACCGAGTTTCTAATCCATTGGAAAAAAGAACAAATCAAAATAAAAAATAAAAATCTGAACACAAACCTCTTTGAAAACAAAGAAACGACACGGCGGCGCAGTGGTAGAGCTCGTTGTTCAGTGGAAGAGATTTCGTTGAGGACGACACGGCGGCGCAGTGGATGGTTTACGTTAGGGGTTTTGCTTGGGGTGACGGCGCCGGTGGTAACATTGTTACTGTCTTTTAGGGTTTTTCTTTTAGAACTGAGAAGAAGAAGAAAATTACATGAAAAGAGGAAAATTGATGGAATGGGGCATATCGTTTAAGAACACATCAAATTGGACCGGTCGGATTCGAGTACCGACGGGCCCAACTAATTGAACCGAAACCGACTTGATTTATCCATGCTTACCCGATTATCTCATCCGATCAACCCGTGCATCCGAAATAACCCGATCCGCAGCTGCTATATACATTCGGTTCGGGCGGGTATTTTCGGGTGGTTCTCTTCTGTCCACCCCTAATGTAAAGTGTAAAAAATGAAAAGAAAAAAAACAAAAAAAGAAGGTGTTGAATAAAGAAACCATCGTACTTGGTCTAATAGAGAAAACTTTACATTAATGGTAGGCATGTATCAAGCATCTAGTTTCTTCCAAATAAATAACATCACATTTCACAACTAAACAGAAAAGTGTTTCTCAACTGTCACAAAAAAAAAAAACCACCTAAACTATTTTTCTTTTTCTATTTAGAAGGAACGAATAGAGGCAAGCACGTATATAAATGATATACGACAGATTATTTGTTTTTTATCTGGAGTAAAATTATTTTATATTATCAATATGTATCAATTAAATTTAATATGAGAAAAAATTGATGCCTTCACAGCAAATCACAACTATATATTCAATTAAAATATATTTTTAATTTTAAAAAATTAAATAATATAATAAATTATTTATTTTTTATTAGATCACAGTATAAAATTATTTTACACTCCTAATACATATCAATTAAAGTCATATAATATAATCCAAATTTATTTATTCGAAGCATTAATATTAAACTTTATAAAATCTTTTTCCAACATTAAAAATAATAACGCTTTGCTGTCACTAGAACGTTGATTTAAGTTGTCAAAATTCACATGATTCTCACCACCATCATTCAAAATCAGAAAAAAAAAGAATCACACGGGTTTCCCTTTTCTCTTTGCAACCATTTTTTTTACCTTCTTCTTTTCAATTACTACTTCACTACTATTCATCGCTAGAAAACTGAAGTTGAAATAAGTTGTTTTTCTCCTTCTGATAAGTGATTCTGAGTTTTGAATCTTCAACATGGATATTTCCATTTCACAAAGAAAGAGAACTTTGCTTAAGGTCATCGTCCTTGGAGATAGCGGGTACGTAAATATATTATAAAATTTTCTCTTTTTTTTTTTTCAATTTTTTTGAGATTATTTATTAGTACTTCATGGAACTGTTATTATTGATAAATGTGAGTTGAATTTTATTTTTCTTGCAGAGTTGGGAAGACATCTCTGATGAACCAGTATCCATTTGTCATTTTCAATAAATACAAAAAAAAAAAAAAAAAAAAAGTGAAAACATGTTATTTTTATGATGTTATTGATTTGTGATAGATGCAATATTAATTCTAAGTTTTTTTTAGTTTTCACTGCTTCGGTTTGTTCTGTTCTGTTTTTTTAACAACCAAAACTGATGCATGAGTTGGCATTCTTTGATTGTGGGGAACAGTAGTTCAGTCCAGCTGACAAATAGTAATGGAATCTAATATATTTCTGTCAATTTTAATTTCAATCTAAGATGCATTAAAATAGGTGATGTGAAACATAAAACTATATTATAGTTTTCAATTATTTAATACTCCTATAGTCCAATATTGTGGTACATTAACTTTCAATTTAGATATGTTTATAAAAAATTCAGCCAACAGTATAAAGCCACAATTGGAGCTGATTTTGTTACAAAGGAGCTACTAGTTGATGATAAACTAGTAACCTTACAGGTGATTGATTCAAATTTTCCTCTAAAATTTATTCTAACCCGCAATCGTGCAACTAAATGTTTCTGTATAACTATCAACTAAGTTAGCTTAATTAATTATTTATGAGTAAAATTTTAATGCATAAATGATTACAATGTTGTGGCAGATTTGGGATACTGCTGGACAAGAGAGGTTCCATAGTCTTGGAGCTGCATTTTATAGAGGGGCAGATTGTTGTGTTTTGGTATATGATGTAAATATACAAAAAACATTTGATACATTAAGCAATTGGCATGCTGATTTTCTTAAACAGGTGTGTGTATTTTAATTATGTGATTATTGTTGCTAATTTTTCACTTGAGTTAAACAAATGAATTGGAATTGATTTCAGGCGGATACAGAAAATCCTGATGCATTTCCCTTTGTATTACTTGGGAACAAGATTGATGTAGATGGTGGAAATAGTAGAAGGGTATGTAGATAATTAAATTTTATGATTAATACAATAATTTTTATAATTGAAACATTTTTGGGCAAAGTGTTGACTATTTGTGTTGTTAATTGTTGAAGGTTACAGAGAAGAAAGCTAGGGACTGGTGTGCTTCTAGGGGTAACATACCATATTTTGAGACTTCTGCGAAAGAGAGTTACAGTGTGGATGATGCATTTTTATGTGTTGCTAAAGTTGCATCAGAAAATGAACATGAATTAGATATGTAAGACTATATAACTTTTGTTTTTCTTGAACATTTTTACAAGATTTTTAAAAAGTATTATGAATTTTAATGATACAACAAAACATGCTTATTTCATAGCAGTTATTTTCGAGGAATTTCTGAAGCTCCTTCAGAAGCAGTAGAACAGGGAAGTGGTTGTGCATGTTGAACTTGTCGTTTAAGGATGAATAAATATTTAAGGAACATGGTTTTGTTCTTTACTATATGATATTATTTACTTGATCAAGTTATGTTTGGTTTAGGTTGTATGCGTTACTATTATCCTTAAGCATGGAAAATTCTTCTCTATTTTTTCTTTAGGTGAACTATTTTTTAACTTTCATGGTGTAATCAAATTTTTTCGTTGTAACATTTTTGTATATTATAATTCTACACTTCTTTTTATGCATTATATTTAGGTAAAATGATAAAGATTTATGTCTTATAAATATTGTTTTGATTTTTTTTAACAATCCATACTATATTATAAAAAATAATATCAAAGTTGAGGATATATCTGTCCTATCAAAGAGAGAGAAAATTAAAATCAAGATGGTAAAACTCAAAAGGATATCATTTTTATATAAGTTTTGTAGTGGAATAATCGAAAAAGATTCTGAGGTAAGGGTGAGAGGTGTACACATTGTTCTTCTTGAGTCACACTTATAATAGTTCGAGCGTTCTTCACTATGGCCTCTTGTCCGGATCAGTCGTTCAATTTTCCATTTACCGTCCATGACGTTTGTGTATTGGGCCAACCGTCAATACTTAGAAAATCGTGGGGCTTAACTATTTTCCCTAAAGTTCTGGATATTAACGCCCACTCCCAGAAATGTTGCTATATTTTAGGGAGACTGGGTTTATTTAATCAGAGGTCTTTGTGGGCTATAAATAGATCAGTATCATGATACTAAATGACCAATCTCGAACACACAGATAAAAACCACTATATAAAGCTTCTCGTATCATCGCATGAGCTAGCTCTAACCCTCAACGGAACCTAATCCATTTGGGGTTGTTACTCTCAGTATACTTTTATCTAGTACAATTGGCGTTTGTCGTGGAGCCTTGGCAAAACTGACATGGACCACACACACATAAATAATCTTATCACGAGTTTCTCTCACCATATTCCCACGAGGATGATCGATAAAAGTTACAAGAAGAACACTAACACCACCTCTAGAGATTTCGGTGGAGGAGGATAATCCAGCTCCTCCCAAAGAAGATACGCCTTACATATGTTGGTAGCAGACATCACACCCCTGAAACCCTCAATGTCTTTGGCGCAGACTGGGAGCATGAAATCACTTTCTTGAAAGAAGATGTTGTAGGCATACTCCCTCACAATAATTATCATTTGGTCATCACATTTCAACACGATGATTGGGAGGTGAAGAGGGTGCTAATTGATCTTAGAAACTCCGCAAATACTTTGTTATGGAGTACTTTATAGGGGCTCTAGATAGATCCTTGGGATGTCAGATCTTTCCAGGGATCCCTTATAGGCCTGTCAGGCGAACAAGTACATGTCAAGGGCTACATCTCCCTTGAGAATATAGTAGTTATTATATCCCAATTTTTACCCCTAAGATCTCTCATCATCTCATACCATCACAATACATTAAGACACACACATTAGGATTGGTTCTCTCTTTATCCTATTTGTAAGTTTTGTTCTTAAGGGATCACCAAGCACCTTGAAGTGTGTATCTTGTACATGTGTTCTTTTAACTAACATCAAGATATTATATGTGTTTCTTTGAATGTTCATATTGTAGGTGATGACACAATTGCATTCATCTTACTATTTAACCTAGGGTTTGAGGGTTGGTCTTCAGTTAAATGTTTCTTAAATAGATTTCAAGAGCTCAAGCTTCAAGGCTATGTCTATGATATCCAAGAGTTGTGGTTCAAAGAACTCCCTCACTTTACTTGGTTAAGATATCTTCGAAGTTGGTGGTGACATTCATCAAGAAGATTCATAGGTTCATGTGTTTATTTCCATGCCTTCTTTAACAAGTTTCACTGAGACTTAATCTCCATCTTTGGGTGTGCTTCAAAATAACATCATGTTAAGGTCCATTGTGATTCATCATGCTTTATTTTTCCAAGAAAGTTCAAAAGGATTCAAGGTTGATTCAACAAGTTTGACCTAATTGAGCAAAAGCTAGATTCATTGATCATAAGTGCATAACTCTCTCAATTTTCAACATTTTGAGTTTGTTATTTTTGCTATAGATTCTTATCAACATCTGCAATAACTTCTCTTCACATGACAAGATCCAATTGTGCAAAAAAAATCATCAAAAGTTGAAAGGGGTTTCGAGTCATTTAGACACTCTCTGAGCTAAGGTTTGTTGACTTCTAAGGACCATATCTTGTTCATTTTTTGATATTTTTGATTGACTCTAAAGCTATTATTTTCTTTAAAGGGTACTTGACAAGCTCTCTTCAGGAATCTAAGACTAATTTTAAATGGAAGATCACTAATGGTTGAGAAATATTACAAGTCTCCTTGAAAAGCCTTTGAATTTTAGGGTTTGACTTCAAATGATCATAACTTGGTCAATTTTTATCTTCTTGAGCCCATTCTTTTTCCATAATAATCTTTTGGATGTATACTATAACTTTGTTTCAATTTGCAAGACTTAAAAATGCTTGGAAAGTTGTTTAAAAATTGAAAAGATTATAGGTCTTTTGTGGATTTTCCCAAATTTGTTCATCATCTTCCAAAGACCATAACTCCTTCAATTTTTATGATTTTTGAGTGACCTCAATTCCACAATTCAATTCAAGAAGTTTACTTCATGTCATTTTCCAGATATCAAGATCAAATTTTGATTGGAATGTCATGTAATTTTGAAGAACATTATAGGCCATTTTGAAGTTCAACAAATATTTCTAAGTATAAAAATCAGTTTGTTTTTCACGATTTCAAGAGGACATAACTTTCAGCTCAATCATCCAAATGGAGTCTTTCTTGGCACATTGTGAAGTTTGTTATGAGATCTTTCAAATGCTTCAAGAATCATGTCATAAAGCCTCCTACATTGTGAGCACCGTGAAAAATAATTTAATAGCCTATAATGTTAGAAAATAATTTAAACAAAATAGATAAATAAAATAAAAAATATGAAAGAAAATGAGATGGGCTTGGTTTAGTAGCAATGGAGTGGGGTGTTAATTGCATTTTCTGAGCCCAAAACTCCTTGGCCCACGTTGACTTTCTAGATCCTGTATGCTTGCTTGACTAGGGTGCATTGTGGACCTCCAAAGGATGGCCCTTGGATCTAGCTTGTTGGTGGCCTGGATGATGAGATATTGATGATGCACGGTGGATGTCCTGGAGGCTTGTACATATGATCATGTAAAAGAAAATAATATTGAACAAATATGGGGGACTTGGGAATCGAACTCAGGCCCTTTTGGCAATTTCCCTTGTACACTGACCATCTGAGCTAGCGCGCCTTTGTGTATATAGAACAACAAATAATGATTATATTGGAAAAACAAAATAATGGATTATAAAAACGCGCGCAATTTGAATAGGCGAATCAGGGAGTGCCACTCCACCCTTCTTCTTCCTCCCTCCGTTGGCAAAAATCCAGAACTTTTACCTACGGTTTTCTGGGCGTAGGTACAGCTCTGTGATCCTCCTAAATCCTATGCACGCATGATAAATCAATACCAGTGGTACCAATCAACTCGTTGCAACCTCACAAGCATCATGGTACCACTCTCCATGGCTAATTGTACATGTAACAAAAAAACCCAAAAACGAGCCAAGAACCCTAACTATGGCATCTTGCTTTACAGTTAATAAAAATGCAATTGAACATAACCAATAGCTTGCAAATGATTCAATGATCAAGAATATGTAAAGAAATCATGCTACAAATGTCATAATCATGACATTTGATTTCAAGAAAGTATCAATGTCGTGAGATGCTTACAGCGCATTTTAGGATGTTATGAGGCTTGCTAGTGATTGGAATAGGGTCCTTGGATGTCCATCAAACGAATGGCGTGCTTGGAATGGCTTGAGGAAGCTTGAAACTATGAGATCAGATTGCCACTTTTCCTTTGAAATTTTGAGATTTGTTCCTCTCTTTTCACGCCTCCAATGCCCTAGTTTTTTATCTGCGCTCATCCTATATGTACCCTAGAATGAATTAGGTTACAAACTTGCTTCAAATCTTTCTCAATTAAGATGATTGAATCGTGATTTGATTCTTATGTAAATCTTTCCAAATCAAGCCAAATCCAATATTTTTGTGTCCAAATGGAGCCTGGATGATTTGATTCTCTTTCCAGCTGTATAAGAGACCTAAACATGCACAAAATCTCAAGCTTTGATTAGTTTTGATATTTTCATGATTTTATTTTGATTTAATTTAATTTAATTTAATTGAAATAAAAATCAAAATAAATGATAAAAATAAAATAAAGACAAGTGGGAAGGATCATGGGTCGTGGATCATGTTACAAACTCAATGCAAGCACAAAAAGTTGGTCCCATTTGACAAAAATTGCAATTTTGGCCACTTTTGACTTTTGGCAATTTTGCAAAAAATGTCAACTTTACCAATGCATAACTCCTTCAATTTTGACCCTAGAGATGTGTTCTTGGACTTTTTAGAAAGATCAATATGTCCTCTAAGCAACCCTTTTTGTCTCATCTCAATTGAGTCTTCCATGTTCATGTATGAAGCTTTGACAAAAAAAGTATTTTTGTTGACTTTTCAAAATGACCTATAATGTCCAAATTTATATCTTCTTGTGAGTGCATATTTTGAACTTGTGAGATGAATATGAATTGTAGGGAATTACATCCTCTTCAAAATGAGCTTTGGATGGGTCATTTTTGATAAAATATGATAAAGTTATGCTTGGTCAAAGTTGAGTTGACTTTTCCTACAAAACCCTAATTTAGCAACTTTTGGGTTTTGATGAATTGTGAGCAATCCTTAATGAATCATGATCAACCATTGATCAAATGATGAATAATATTTCAAAATGAGGATGTTGACCAAAAATCTTGAAGTTTGACTGTATGTAGGGCACAATTGACTTTTGCTCTAGCATAGTCGATTTTCAGGCCTTTGAGCAGTTGACTGAGCAAATTTCCTCGGCAATGCTTGAAACTTGACATGGATGATCTTGAGAATATATTAGGACAATGGTGAGCATTTGGGATCCTTTGGACTCAAACATCTTGATGCAAACTGAAACCCTAATTTGAGGTAGATTGCATTAGAAGAGGGTTTGTCTGGTCAACCCTTGGACTTCCTTGAGCAATTGAGGACCTCACTTGAAATGTATTGAGAAATACGGGAGGGAAAATTTTGGGGTACATCAACATGATTTTTTTGTATTTAGGCCTAAAAGAAGTTGTGCCCGCGGGCCTGCTCTGTCCGTCCACACTTTTAGTGTGGCGCGGATCAAGATTTTAGGCCCACATCCTCAAGTATGTTTGCCCCACCCTGTCTCATTTTTGCGGACTTTTGCGGAACGAGTCTAAACAGAGCGGGTATGCTCGTTTGTCACTCCTAATTACAAATGAGTTAATCGATTAATCGATTAATTCTAATGTGTTAATCTATTAACCAATGTAAAAGAAACTCCTAATTGATTAAGCAAGTCCATAATCAATTAAGTACACGTATAAACAATATTTTTCAGGTGTTTATCAAATGAGAGATGCTTTAAAACATATTTAAGTATATGTGTGTGTGTTACGAGAGATATGTTTTAGTATCTAAAGAATTACTCTTATATCTTTACATTAATTTGATCGCTCAGACACACGCTAAGCGCATGATTATGCGAGTTTTCACACTTCCTCTCTTTCACAACTTTAAAGCTTCAAGGTCCCTTGTTGGATTCAACATTGGTTTAACACTTCATTTGAAAATTGATTCTTTCAAATGGCGAAGCTTGAAATAACTTTTTTGATAGACACCATCATTAGAGATTCAACATTGATTTAACACTTTATATGAAACTTGACTCTTCTAAATAATGAAATTTTGGATAAATTCTTTGATAAATGTCATCATCAGATATTGTTGGACAAATGTCATAAAAGACTTCACCAGACATCGTTTGAGCTTAGATATTGTCATTTTCAAAATCATATAATTATCTAATGGTTACATACAACTCTAACTACAAGCATATAGATCCATATATCGGTCATACTAGTGTCCCCCAATGAAGTTGAAATTGACATACCCACAACTATAAATAAAAGACTAAACACGCGTCTTACTCTTCTCTTCAAATCCAATGACACGTAGAGTTTTTATCATTGCTAAAGAAAATCCATTGACAATCTATGAATCATTAGTAACTTTCCATAACACCATGCTAGCAAGGTCCATCCTCTTTGATTTAACAAGATCAAATGCAATAACTCGAATCCTTGCTTGGAAAAGATTTAATGTTTACAACAAAAAAAAAAACATAACCATCGAAGGCTATACAAAAGATAACCTCTTGATTGAAGGCTATACAAATTTATTTAGATTTTGTCACCAAAAACCTTTTACACCTATTTCGGTTTGGTGATTTTTTCCCCGATAATAGTTGACTGAAAAAAACCAAGGGCCCCTAATAATTGCATCGAAATAAATCATCAAAACAAAACACATAGAAGACGCACGTAATCGGTGTCTGGCGTTGTTCTCTTTCTCTTCTCTACCCAAAAATGGCTTTCTCTGCAATCACTACGCACTACTCTCCTCAATTCGTTCGCGTTCCCATCTCTGTTCCTCAAACTCACGCATCTCTCTCTTTTCGATTTTCAACACCAATTCTCAACCGCCGTCATACTCCCAAACCTCTCTCAATCCGAGCAGCTTCCGTTCCTGCCACCGGTACGCCTTTCCCCCCCTCCGATTATATTCTCTGCCTCTGTTAATTTTCTGCGTAATCAACATCATAATTATTAGGTTTTCCGTGCTAATTCTATGTTTCAGCTGCTCCTGCGTCCGAGGCCGTGGCACCTGCAATTTCGCTTTCGGATAGTGCACTGAATCACTTGAATAAGATGCGGTCTGAGCGAAATCAAGATTTGTGTTTGAGAATAGGTGTCAAACAGGGTGGGTGCTCTGGTATGTCATATGCAATGGATTTTGAGGATAGGGCTAATACAAGGCCAGATGACTCCATCATTGAATACAAAGGTTTTGTAATTGGTATGACTTCTTATTCTATTTCTTGTTCTTCATCAGTAACATTTTTAACTCATACGCCTTTTTCTCATGCTTTAGCTACATCCAATATCTTCAAATGCAATACGGGTTCTGGTATCGATGAAAATCTTAATTATGGTTTTATCCAGTGGGGGTTTTGTTTCAATGTGGGGATATATATCTGCTTTGCGACTTTTAGTATGCATTAATGTAACTTTGTACAACAAATACCTCGTTCTTTTCTTGAGGAGAGGGAAGAATTCAACAACTACAACTGTTATCAAACTAGTACTTTAATATAGGTTGTCGATAGCGCGCTGTAGCGGTATAGCGTAGCAGTACAGGACCTCGACACCACGCTTTTAGGCTGCTAACCGCTATCAGCGATAGCAGAAATAATGGTCGCTATTTGTGAAGTCGTGGCGGCGCAATAGCGGTTCTGTAGCGGTTTACAGATCGCAATTGTGAAGATGAGAGCAATATTGTAAGTTTGAATTTTTTAAGGACATTGATAATTTTCCATTCTCTTTCTTCGCAAATTTTCTTCTTCCACATTCTTCTCAACCTAAAAATCAGCAAGCGGTGGATCTTTCTCATCCATTCTTCCACATTCCTCTTCACCTATTCATCTTTTCCTTCACTTTCTCATCCATTCACATCTATTTTTCTAGACATAACTCTAGATTAGTGTCTAATGGAGATGAGGAGTTGGAGGTAGAAGAAGAGTTTGAAATTGAATCAAGTGATGAGCAAGATGACATTAATGTGCTGGAGCTTAGAAGTGAAGATGAGGCGGATGTGATTTAGTCATTTTGTTTACGTTTGTTTACGTTTAGAATTTGGTTTAGTCATTTTGAGCATATTTATAATTTGATTTTGCTGGGAACTTGTATTGTGGAGCTTGTGTATGTTGTTGCAACTTCTGCTTTTAAGGCATTATGTATATTTTAGAACTTATTTTAAGTATTTATGTATTCATGTTAAGTATTTACCTTAGTTTTTAAAGCTCACAATAGCGGTCATCCCACTATCCGCTATAGCATTTTGGGGGTCTGGCGCTACGCGCCGCTATCAGAGATTAACAATCTAGACTTTAATGGTAATAGAATCATTAGAAAGTAAGTGGTTCTATTTAGGCTTTGTTTGGATAAACAACTTATTTGTAGGTTATAGCACAAACACTTATCATGATGAGCGCCCTATGCATAAGCTATTTTTATAGCATAAGATAAATAAAAGTTAAGTATTTCTGTATAAGCTATACGCTATTTTCAATAGTTATCTTTGAGAACTTGTGAAAATAAGCCGAAGACAAACAGTTAACAATGTTATAAGTTATCCAAAATAGACTTACAAAATTTATGGATAAATAAGCTCACATAAGCCACAACCCAAACAGGCTTATAGAATTAAACATCTTCTCTAATAGGAATTAACTACTCTTTCTAGATATAGCTTCCAATTGTCATATCTGCCTTTGCATTATGTATCATTATCAACTAAGTGTAATCTGTCATGGTATTATTTTAAAGAAATGCAAACTAACTGCTAGCTCTTTAATTGTTCAATGTATCAACTAATTGTTCAGCGTGGTCCTTTTCACATTATCTTATTTAGTTGTCTTTAAGATTTTGCTTACCGGTTTTTGTAGCAATTGGTAGTTGAACAGCAGTTAAAACATTGTTAAGGGTGCACTTGGATTGCTTTTAGTAATTAAGCCAACTATATTTGGCAAATGAAGTATATTTCGCAAGTGAAGGAACATAGTGACTTTGATAGAGGAAACTTTTTCTTTGTATATTTATGTTATTAATGTGCCAACTACAGTGCTTCAATTTTTATGAGTCATAAAGTTTTTAGGTCAATGCATGACTTTTTGACTTCTCCATTTGTTTTTGCAGTTTGTGATCCTAAGAGCCTACTCTTCGTATTTGGGATGCAATTAGACTACAGTGATGCTCTGATTGGGGGAGGCTTCAATTTCAAGAATCCTAATGCGACACAGACCTGTGGATGTGGTAAATCCTTTAATGCAGAAATGTAAAATCGTGTTTATAGACATTAGTAACAATATTACGGTGATTGTTTCAAGCAATACTTCGGAATGTTTATAGGACTTTATACTAACAAATACATTATAGGAATTGTCGGGAAAAAAACTACTGAAGTTGTCTGTTTTTATGTTTGCTTTGCTGCATCAGTTTACTCTTAAGGTCTATATATAAACACTCATAGGATATGTTGTATTTATTGTCCAAAACCTGTTTGTTATAACCTGAATACTGGATCAGCAGAATTACTAACCACGGAATCACGTAATTCTTTTCTCTGTTGATGCTTCGATTATGGTAGTGGTGCACTGAAAAATCAAAACTAGAAAGTATCTTCTGAAATTTGAGAGAGTTTAAGTATTAATATTTCAAAACATGTCTACCATATTGCCCCTCACCTTAACATGAAATTTTACAACTTTTTTTCCTCGGTATTTTACGGGTGTGGACATTAACATGAAATTTTACAACTTTTAGACTTTATAGATGCAAGACCCATTAGACCCACCCTCATTCTTTTCGGGACGAGTCAAGGTTTTAAGCTCACACTCTATTATATTTGTCCGCTCCATTTTTTTATTGTGGGGAGATGTGTGTTTGCCACCCCTAGGTGGGTGGGTCAAGAATTTTAGGTGGAGGCATAGACTTTTTTGCTTCGGTGGATCCTTACATTTTCATATAGATGTTTTTTATTTATTTTTAATTTTAGGAGAATGCTCTTTCCACCCTTAGATGTGCATCTCACACCCTTGAAAATTTGAATATGTCCTTCATGGGTTTGGAGATGGATCTCCGGACGTACTAAATCACTCTGAAATGCATTATTATCTTTGGACGCATTCAAATCACTCTATTTTGCTTAAAAAAAAGTGTTCGGAGATGATTTTTTACAAAATACGGGTGACTCAACAATTTGTGTTGAGATGTGTATATAAAAAGGTGTGTCCGGATATATATTTCTTGACACACTCAATTTTTTGCAAAATAAAAGTGACTCGATAATTTATGTTATAATGTGTGTAAAAAAGGTGTGTTCGAAGGTATATTTCCGAATGTTGGAAACATTTGAGATTTTTCACGGTGGTGGGAGAGAATACGTAAGGGTGAAAATAATTTTAAGGGATTATCTTGTGATAAATAATAGGTTTTGGATCTCAAGTTTCATGTTTGAATTTTGGTAGTGCTTTTAGAGCGAGGTAAATGTATTATGAGTTGTATTTGATGTGTTTAATGAACTATAATGTCTACTCTATCTTGAACTCGGTCACCACCATGTCACCTTTAAAAATTACAAATTCAAATATATTTAGATTAAACATTAAGGTTTTATACACAATCAATTTTTTTCCAAAGTGAGTATTATATATGATTCAATTCATAGTCTTGCATGTTCAAACATCACAAATATGATTGTACTTCAGTTTATATTTTCAATAAATTGAATTCTAGATAAAATTACTATCATGTGAAACTTAAAGTAAAATTATGTTATATAGGCATTCTTTGAACTACATCTATATGATAAAAACAAAAAATTTTAGAAAATATTATCTCAAATGTAGAAATCTTAGCAAACACGACCTTGAAAACATAACCAATATCTCTTTCATTTCTAAATTCCATAACCACAAAAACTCCAATCATATTTTTAAATATCTAGAAGATGCATGTAACAACAGCAAATACGAGAAAAAAATTGATGGGTCATGAGAAAAACATCCACATTAGATCATAAACAATCACATAAGTGAAAGTGACAACATCTAGTCATTTAAAACATTAAGGCATTAGGTTTATTAAGATTGCTTATGGATGGTTTATTTTCATAATCAATCAATAACCATTTATAATATAAACAAATTGTCAGAATTAATTTTTTTCTTCAAAATCTTAATATATATATATATATATAGATATATATATATATATATATATATATATATATATATATATATATATATATATATATATATATATATATATATATATATATATATATATATATATATATATATATATATATATATATATATATGGAAGGTTGTGCCTAATCTCAATCCTAGCTATAAAGTGATGTGTCATCTTAATATCAATTTTTATCCAATTTTAATTCTATTTTTTCCTCTTTTTTTATCCATTTATTTTTTATTTTTTAAATTTCTATGTTTAAAAAATAACTTAATTATTTAAATATAAAAATAAAATAAAAGTGTCCTTAAAATATATATAAAAATATAAATAATTTTTATATAAATCATTTATAATAGAGAAGAAATAAAAAATCTAAATACAATTTTAATATATATTCATCATTTCTAAAATATAAGTTAAAAATTCTCTGTTTTATTATATTTTAGATCTAAATTTAAATAATAAGTTAAAATTTTAAAATTTAAATTATAAGTTAAATGTTATAATTGAATATTATATATTTTAAAAATATAACTCAATTGGTATAAAAATATAACTTTTTTAACGAAAAATTATGTTAATGCTATTTTTATTAAAAATTAATTGTAGTGTAATGTCTTATGGCCTATCATTTTTCACTTAAAATAAAAAGATAATTTATATACAAATAATTTTTCACACAAATTCTATATTGTTCAATATATTTTTCTATCACTATCCAATGACTTTTTATTTAGGACTCTCTTTAAGTATGAGAAATCCTCTCACTTTCTCTTAAACACTAATCCCTAGTGTTTGGACTTCATTCACTAAACCTAGTGATCAATTTCAACCATCAAGATAAATGATTGGATTTACAACTCAACTAGGCAAACATACAACAACGTCAAGTTACTGAAATATAGTGTGGTGTATATAAAATAACAAGGACTCTTGTAAATCTAGCACTCTAAGATCTTTGATTTGATTTCAAGAGTTCTCTATGATAATATATATATAAAGAGAGTTGAATGCAAATTGTCTAGTAAACTCTTGATGATGGCATATGATCAAAAAAAAATACCTCAAGCCTAATTAGTTAGATAATTCAAATATCTAATTGAGGTGTTAATCAATAATCAAATAAAGTAGAAGATCTTGAAGTTTGAAAGATAAAAAAATATGAAAACTCATTTAGTCATGTACTTAGCATATCAGAGTGATCAATTTAAATTCTAAAAGATCAAGAGTAATTCTTAAAGTAGAAAGGTCCAAAACTCTTTTCAAAACTCTTTGTTTTTGTTAAAACATCTTAAAATCTATCAAGGTATGTATAAAATGGATTAAGAAGTGTTTATACAAAATCCAAAATTCAACAAGGTAAAGTTACATACAAAATCCAACAAATAATGGTTACAAAGAGAGGAAGAGGAGAAGAAATCAGATTTCTCACGGTGTCAAACACGACCCATCAAGCTCACGATCCCGGATCATCCATTTACAAATCACAAATGTTGTTGTCTAAGCTTTAACTATAAAAAATGAAGGTGATGGAATTTGGGAATAAATACCCCAAAAACCATCCACTCAAAAATGAAATAAAAAGGAAATATAAAGAAATGATGTTCCGCGAGAATCGTCCGGCGACATAAAGCGTCGCCCGACGACGTCTCTTATTCACTTGGCCCAAGATAAACCACGTCCTCAGCAGGTCAAAAATATCCTCCATCGCCCGACAACAGAAAGCTTCGCCCGACGATACCTTTATTCCTCGCTTGGCGATGCAGTAGAGAAGCAAGACAGAGGTAACATCAAAAATGGCCTTTTTCGCCCACTGTCGCCCAATGATAGAAATTTTGTACGACAATGCATGACAGTCTAACAACTTCTGTTGCTTTTACTGCATAACTTGGAATGGCTCCAATATTTTGCCTTATCCCTTTATTGATCCAAAAATGTATCTTGGAGCTTTATTCCTCTTGCTCCACAAATGCTCAAATACCTAAAAAACATATAGAAAACTAATCAACCGATACAATATATACACAAAACATAATTAAACGTATTTACAACAAAAAGAGGGGTTATTCAACTGATATTAACAACAAAGAGTCAATAAGTGCAACAAAAAGTATATACAAAATAACTACACTATTGCACTTATCAAACTCTCCCCAACTTTAATCATTATTTGTCCTCAAACAATGTCAAACAACTCAAAGAACAAAGAAACAATAATCAAAGAATCATGAATCAAAAGGTTTTTAAAACAAAAAACAAATGTATGGTTCACAATAAAAATATACACACAAGGCAAAAACTTACCACTAAATTACAACAATAACATGAAAATGAAACAACTCCTAAATACAAAGCACATGTAAAAAATTCTAAAACAATACAATATTCACAAGTGAATCACACCTAATACACACTTCATCAATAGATGAAAAACACAAACATGAGGTGCTCAACTCTCACCCAACAATCTTGCTAACAACAACTAAATTATGCATTCATCAAAGCAAAATCATATTGAAAAGCACAAAAGCAAAATCACAAGGGCTTCAAAGGTTGTAACGTGGTCGGGTGAACAAACAAGAGATAATTCCTAAGGCTAATTGAAACAAAAATTTGCCTAAAACTAAGGGAGTGATCAATTCACCAAAGATTCAAACACAAAATTCCAATTAAACTTCTTCTGAATCTCAAATTTCACATCAAAGCACCATACTTATTAACACAACATTATTCGAACTCCTTTTGTTTTTCTTTTTCAAATATTTTTTCATTTTTTTTTTGTTTTCTATTCAACCTCATAGCAATCAACCAATAAGTGCACAATCATTTTCTCCCCAACTTGAATTCAATCGATATCTTAGTGAATACTCCATACTTTCTAAGGAAAGGTAAAAATTCAAACTAAAACAATGGTTTAGGATTCTAGAAAACAACAAATTAACATTCATGCAAAAAGTGGAGCTAAACACTCATAGACAAACATTTAACAAATATAATATGGATATCAATAAAAAGCTCACAGGGGTTTGTTAGCTGGCAATTTCGAATAAAGAATAATTGGATATCAAAATAATATTTCGAA